CTTTCAGAAATTATCACAAGCAATGTATTATGTACCTCTATCAGTTCTCAAGATTTTAATTTCATAACCACTTTGCTTTTTAACAAAAGCCTTAAATTGTTTGAAAACATCACATGCTTCAAACTTTTGCTTCATAAAGTAAACCCATGTTTTCCTACGGAAATCATCAATGAAACTATGAAAGTAATACTTACAACCTCCATGTGAGGGAACCTCCAACGAACACAGGTCTGAGTGAACAATCTCCAACTGTTTTGTGGCTCTCTTTGACTTGCCCACGCGAAAGGGATCTCTATGCTTCTTCCCAATCACACAAATCTCACAGATACGATCAGGGACATTCACAACATGTAAATCAGAAACAAGTTCTTTTCTCGCAAGATATTGTAATCCAGAGAAATGGAAATGCCCAAACCGCATATGCGATAACCAATTATCATCACAAACTTCAGAATTAAAGCAAGCAAGAAGTGTATACTTAATTTTCAAAGGAAATAGTCGATTTTGAGACATATTTACCTTTGCAATCAAAACTCCTTTAGCATCTGCAATGGTACAACACCCCTGAGCAATATTTATCTTCTACCCTTTTTCTGACAACTGTCACATACTCAACAAATTTTGATGTAGTTCAGAAACATAGAACACATCGGATATAAAATTGTGAGTATCATCCTTCAACTGAATAGAAATTTTACCTTTTCCCAAAATTGGCACCTTCGACTTATTGCCAAATGTCACTTCAGACCGGATTGATTTATCCAGTTTAGAAAACAATTCTTTCTTCCCACACATATGGTTACTACACTCAGTATCCAAGAACCATATGTTCTTATCTGCAGAAAAACTATCGCTGGCCAAAAGTAAGGTTTCAGAACTCTCATCAGACTTTTCAACAGTGTTTTCAGCAATATTTGCTTGATTTCCACGATTATCTTCATTATACCAGCAATCTGCAATCTTGCGCCCATACTTGCCACAATTGTAGCAATGAAATGGAAATTCACCTTGTTTGGTATTATCTCCACCTCTTCCTTAGTTGGAGTTACCACGTCCTCCTCCTTGGTTGAAGTTACCATGACCTCTTCCACTAGATCCTCCTCTTCCTCTTCCACGACCTCTACCAGATCCTCCACCTCTTTGATTAGTGCCAGTCACATTAAGGGTGACTTGTCTCTTCAAAGCTTCTTCTGCTAGTGGTTCCGATTTTGACGCAATTCTGTCAATATGACTTTCTACCACACCTTTCAGCTCTGCAATTGATAAGAGCTCAGTTTTGTGTGACACTGTGATCGAAGCCACCACATGGTCATACTTCATCGGCATAGTTCGAAGACCTTTTTCAACCACTGCACCATCTTCAATCGTATCTCCGTATAACCTCATCTTATTCACCATATCAATAAGACGAGTGAAATACGCATCTACTGTTTCTGTAGAGGTCATCTCATAATTATCATACACCCTTCTCAACGACTGCAACTTAGACTTTTGTGCCCGATCAACTCCTTTGTTTGATACCTTTAAGATGTCCCAAGCTTGCTTTGCTGTTTGAGCACGAGCTAATTGCCCAAAAATGGAGTAATGAACACCTTGGTGAATCTGTCCCAAGACCAATTGATCTCGCCGGGTAGCGGCTGCATCAGCACCTTCGAGTAGACCGGGATCAACAAAGCTCCAAAGATTTTGAGCTTTCAAATGTGTGGACATCATAATTTGCCAATAATTGTAATCGAGTTTCCCGTCCAATTTGGGACCCGACCATACAATATTGAAATTTGCTGTCATATTTCACTACGGGAAATATCTCGGGGTTGAAAGATTAACTTGGCTCTGATACCAAATGTAAGATATATTAAATATAATATATTTAATAATATATATATATATATATATATATATATATATATATATATATATTAAATATAATATAATGTATCTATAAGATATATTAAATATAATATATCTATATATTATATTTATATATATTGAGAGAAAGAGAGGGGTGAATAGAATAAAATGTTTTACTTGATGATTAATGAATGAACAATAGCAACCTATTTATACTAAAGGGTAACCACTAATAAAGCTAAAGGTTAGGACTAATGCTCCATGTAAAGCTACAATTAAGGCCACAGTCCATGTAGTGACACCATGCATAACCCACGTACTGCATCCATGCATTATTCCTAACAAATTAATACTTGGTTTAATATTACTAACTAATAATAATAACAACAATAATAATATTATTATTATTATAACATGATCTGAAGGCCATACATATGATCTTTAGCACATTTCAAACCAACTCGCCACATGACTCCAGTAAATGATGATGGCAATATGGCATTGAGGATTGTCCGAAATAGGGGCTGATAAACCATCAACTTTCATCATGCAAAAATATTTGGATGGTGCAATTGCACCAGCCTTGGTGTACAGATCAACAACAGCTGGAGCGTGCCCATAGCAGTTCCAGCCTTCATCGAGTAGCAATGGAGGATCTTGAGGTTGCCTGTGCCAAACTATATTTGGAGGAACCAAATCATCCACCGCTTCCTTCTTCCAGAAGTGAGTTCGACGCCAACTTTCGTACTTAAATACCCCACAAAGCCGAGCTTTATGTCCATAAGGTCCCACGTGAACATCTGAGCAGTGTTTGAAGACCTTTAATAGATAAACCAACAGCAGCTAAGTGTTTCCCACACATTTAATGTTTCTTTCCCTAGTAACCTCATTTGCTGATCGAATAGAAGCACAATTTTGGAATTGCTTTCATGTTCCATTTTGCTTGTGTCTATGCTTTCATCATTTGGATTAACACCTGCCTGTAAGCACAATTCTACAACAGCTAAAATTCGACTATAATCAAATCTTTCATGGTGTTTGATGACATTTAGAAACTGTTATGAAATATAAGAATGTATTATTTCCTGTACATCCTCACTTAAGAGAATACACAACACAACCCTTATATACAAGCTAGAAGACACCAAACAAGGAAACAAATTTCCAAAAGACTAGACTGCCTAATATATATATATATATATATATATATATATATATATATATATATATATATATATATATATATATATATATTGATACATAAATAACTAACTCGAGTGCCGTTAAGGGCTTTTGTGAATAGGTCCCCTAATTGTTCTCTAGTCTTCACAAATCCTGTAGATATTAAACCTTGCTGTATCTTTTCATGGATGAAGTGACAGTCGATCTCTATGTGCTTGGTTTGTTCATGGAATACCGGGTTGGATGCAATATGAAGAGCAGCTTGATTATCACACCATAGTTTTGCAGGGAATGGAGCTTTGAAACCAGATTCATTCAGGAGGTTGTTTATCCACATCACTTCACATGAACGAGAAACCACATTCTGCTTTTTGCTCTTCCACGAAACCAGATTACCTCTAATGAAAACACAATAGCCAATTGATCTTCGATCCTCTTTTGATCCTGCCCAATCAGCATCAATAAAACACTCAATTTGAGTGTGACCATGATTCTTATACAAAATTCCATGTACAAGGGCTCCCTTCAAGTAACTCAAGATGTGCTCTACAGCTTCCCAATGATCAACAGTTGGGGATGCCATATACTGACTCACAACACTAACAGAGTATGCAATATCTGGACGAGTCACTGTCAAATAGTTCAGCTTTCCAACTAATCTCTTGTACCTCTTGGGATCTTTAAACAATTCCCCCTCTTTTGACAATTGTGTGTTCGGTATCATGGTAGTATTGCATGGTTTAGCACCCAGTTTTCCTGTTTCAGAAAGTAAGTCAAGTACATATTTTCCGTTGAGAAAGTAATATACCTATTTTACTCCTATAACTTCAATACCCAAGAAGTACTTCAGTGGCCCCAAATCTTTTGTTTGAAATTGACTATGAAGAAATGTCTTGAGAGATGAGATCCCTTCGGTGTCACTCCCTGTAATGACAATGTCATCCACGTAGACTACTAACCAAATAATGCCTGTTTTAGACCACTTGTAAAACATGGAGTGATCTGATTTTCCTTTCACCATCCCAAAGCTCTCAACAGCTTGACTAAATTTCTCAAACCAGGTACGAGGACTTTGTTTCAACCCATATAACGACTGAAGAAGTCGGCATACTCTCCCTGACTCCCCCTGAGCAACAAACCCAGAAGGTTGCTCCATGTACACTTCTTCATGAAGATCCCCATGCAAAAAAAAAAAAAAAAAAAAAAAAAAAAAAAAAAAAAAAACATTATTGACATAAGCTGATGTAGAGGCCAATCATGAATGACAGTCATCGAATGAGTAACCTAACACAAGTAAGCTTAGCCACAGGAGAAAAAGTATCAAAATAATCAATTCCATAAGTTTGGGCATATCCCTTAGCTACAAGACGAGCTTTCAGTCGAGCAACAGACCCATCAGAATTTACTATGACAACAAACACCCATTTACAAGCAATAGGCCTCTTATCAGCAGGCAGGTTAACCAATTCCCAAGTACCATTACGATCCCGAGCATTCATCTCTTCAATCATAGCATTTCGCCACCCAGGATGGGACAAAGCCTCTTTAACAGTTTTAGGAACAGAAATAGAATTAAGAGAAGCCATGAAAGAACAAGAAGTTGGTGACACACGACCATATGACACAAAGGAAGACATAGGATAAGTACAACTGCGTTTACCTTTTCGGAGAGCAATCGGAAGGTTACTGTCCGAGACTAGATCTAATGACGAAGAGGTGGTTTCAGGGAATTGTGCAGGCATCGAGTCAAGGGGAGTAACAGGAGGCAGATCTGGAACATGGCCATTCTGACGAGGTCTACAAGAATATACCTGTAAGACAGGAGGGGTAGAAAGGGTAGGAACATAGGATGTGACCGTATACATCAAAACGTCATTATCCTCCCCATGACGGATAGCATCTGGAGAGGAAGAGAAAAAAGGAATGTCCTCGTGAAAAGTCGCATCAATGGACACAAGATACCAAGCTCAGGAGAGTAACATGTGTACCCCTTTTGCACACGAGAATAACTAAGAAAGACACATTTTAAAGACTTTGGATCTAACTTGGTGATAGTGGGACGAACATCCCGAACAAAACATACACAACCAAATATACGTGGGTCAATATGGAACAAAGACTTGATAGATAGAGACAATGGAATGGTGTTTTCCCATTCAAGACTGTAGAGGGCATGCGATTGATTAAGAAACAGGCTGTGGAAACAGCATCAACCCTAAACTGCTTGGGAACCCCACTTGAAATAGCAAGGCCCTTGCAGTCTCGAGTAGATGCCTATTTTTGCGCTCAGTCACCCCATTTTGGGAAGGTGTGTCGACACAAGAGGACTGATGTAGCATACCCTTCTGAAGCATATAAGAGGCAAAAGGGGACGAAAAATATTCCTTAGCATTATCACTGCGTAAGATTTTAACAAGCACTCCAAACTGGGTTTCAATTTCAGCACAAAACCCACGAAACAAACCAAACAATTCAAAATGACTCTTCATCAAATATAACCACGTCATACGAGAAAAATCATCAACGGATATAACAAAATACTTGAACCCAGGTTTAGAGGTCACAGAACACGGTCCCCATAAGGACTAAAAGAAGTATTAACTCAATAGTCAGAGGACCTTTTGTGGTATTGACTCTTTCATAATCAATTTATTAACTTTAAAAAAGATCGAAATTACATGTAATGATATATTTATATGTTTGTTAAATATTACATACTTTAAAATAATAGTTGAATATTATATATATACCATTAATCGTATTTATATTGTGTGGCATTTAGTTAAAAATTAAAATGTCTTAGTAATTAGTTTAGGACAAATTTCATATTTAGTCATTTGATTCATTGTCACACTTAATTATTTTAACTAAAAAGAGTAACTCAAGAGAAAATTTCAATTTTGGTCAACTAATTGTTGGAGTTGTGTTAATTGCAACACTTAATTTCAAAAATGTTAATTTAATACCTTGACTATGTAATTTCTATGAATTTTGGTCACGCCAACCAAATTACCGGCTAAATCTCACCGGAAAAATTTAATAGGTCAAATAATGAAGGTATTTTAGTCATTTTACTCATCTTTTCTTTCTTATCCGATAACTTCTCTCCATTTCCTACGACGATTTCTTTTCCGATGAGCTTTTCCACTTCTTATGAATTATGATCACACAAATCCATCGGAAAGCAACTCTTAATCGCTTGAACAAGTTACTGTTTTTCCCCAAATTTTAATTACGTATTCAACAAATTTTGTTGAATTTCCTGGATAAATTCAATGCCCAACATGGATTTGTTTCTTCACATTGCTGTGAAAGAGATGGAAAGAAGAAAACTTTATCGTGTACGGAGAGAGATGACTTTCTGCAACTGAGCAATGCCAAATTTCTTTCACGTACGTTACGACGAAAGCTACTGATTTAGAAAATTCCTTTCTGGATTTGCTTTAACGGAAGCTGAGATCCTGCTATCTGTTCGGTCCTTTCTTCCGGAAGGAACTAAGAATCTAGTGGATTTCAACAAATCCTGGCAGAAGAATTGAAGAAATCGTCGCCGGAAGTGGAGAGAGTCATCGGGGAAGAAAGAAAAGATAGTAAAATGCTCATTATTTGACCTATTAAAATTTTTCGGTGAGATTTAGCCGGCAATTTGATCGGCGTGATCAAAATTTATAGAAATTACATAGTCAAGGTACTAGTGTTACAATTACCACAACTCCAATAGTCAGTGGATCAAAATTGAAATTTTCTCAATAACTCAATTAGGAAATGAGCTTCTTGATTGTCACATTTGATTATGTTTAATAAAAAAATGTAGTTCAAATGAAAACTGAGCTTCTTTATAGGGACAATTTCAAAAATAACTCTCTCAATCCATAAAATCGGACAGAGATAAACCCAAAACACCTTAAAATTTATACTAAAAAACATTTAATTATATTTAGTAAACTTTGTCACATTCGATTATTTATTTAAATATGACTAATATCTAATTTAATCTGCTACCATGTATAGTTGCTTCAGTGCCAATTTCAAGTTCAGCAAACCTCATTTGTCCTGCATGTTAGAAATTGAGTGGAATAAAATGAACAGGAGAAATTGCTGGACTTCAACAGCCACAATGTATAGGCTGCAACATCTAAATAAATCATAATATTCTTGTTTTTCTACACTTGCGTATAAGAACTTTGTCAATATTACATGAGAGCATGAATGATTATTATAGTGTAGGTAGATAACAGACGCCAAAAACAAAAAATAAATAAAAACCAAAAAAAAAACAAAAAAACAAAAAAAAAAAAAAAAAAAAAAACAAAAACAAAAAAAAACAAAAACAAAAACAAAAACAAAAACAAAAAAAAAAAACAAAAAAACAAAAAAACAAAACAAAACAAAACAAAACAAAAAAATAAAAATAAAAAAAAAAAAAAAAAACAAAAAAAAAAAAAAAAAAAACAAAAAAAAAAAAAAAAACCTATGAATTTCCCTTTAGGATGACCTTCATGGCAACTCAGATTTGTTTGGATGGATGTGCTTCATTCCCATTTAAGAGTACCAGTTTTTACAGGTTCTTCAATTTTCATTGGTACACAGACCAATATGCTGTCTTCTTACATGCTACAAAAAAACCAGACCTCGCTTGCCATCTGCTCTACACCAAATCAGCAACACCTATCAGTTTCAACAAGTATATTAGATAATAGCCCTGCTTAAAAACCAAAATGCAGAAATTAATAGAGAAACAGAAGATCTATTCTAAGCACAGTAGCACACTAAAGGCTCCAGGATTTTAGGTAAAAAACCATAGACCGAAACATGCATCAATCCTGCCCTATGAACCAAAATTTACAACAGCTATACTTTTGGGGTGACGAGGGGAACCCGCAGCCATGACCCGAGGGGTGTGCACTGGGTAAACTCTGCCTTGTGACTCTAGCCGGCAAAGGATCACAAGAAGATAAACCAGCCTAGGTTGCCCATAGCTGACCGGCTCAAACCAAGAGGTTGTGTAATATCGTGTATAAACTTGTCTCTAAAATTCTTGCCAACCGGATTAAGCCTCTTCTTAATCATCTTGTGTCTGAATCCCAAACTGCCTTTGTCCCTAGTAGATTGATAACTTAACTGATAATGTTTGGTTGCGTATGAAATTAATCATTATTTGAATAAGAAGAGACAGGGGAACATCAGGTTTGTGAGGGTCAAACTAGATATTAGCAAGGCATATGAAGGGTCAACTGAGAGTTTCTGAGAGTCGTGCTTAGCAGAATGGGTTTTTTTCTGGGCATGTGATTAAGTTAATCTGGGAGTTGGTTTCTACTATTGAGTATAGAATTATTTTGCAAGGGAGGGAAGTTGGGTCTATCTCTCCGGGGAGAGGGCTACGTCATGGGGATCCAATTTCTCCTTATCTTTTTATCCTTGTGTTGGAAGCCTTTCATTCTATGATTCAGAGGAAAGTAAGAAAGGGAATGATTCATGGTGTTTCTATTGCTAGGGGAGCCCCTGTGATTACAAACCTCTTCTTTGCGGATGATTGTTATATGTTTTGTTGAGCTTCTACTTCTGAAAGTCTTGTGCTTAGAAATGTTATTGATACTTACGCAGAGGCTTCGGGGCAGACTGTGAATTACTCAAAATCCAGACTTACTTTTAGTAAAAAAGTTGTTGGGGACATTAGATGGGCTGTTCGTGAGGCTTTGGAATGAGGGAGGGAAATATGAGTGGGAATTATATTGGATTGCCTTCCTTGATTGGTAGGAATAAGAGGGAGATATTGGGTTTTATAAAGGACAAAGTGTTGGGAAGAATCAAAAGTTGGACAAACAAATTCATTTCTAGAGCGGGGAGGGAAATTCTTCTTACAAATGTCATCCAAGCCATACCAACGTATGCTATGAGTGTATTCTTAATTCCTTTGGAAATGGGGAGAGAGATTGAGCAGGCCATGAATGGTTTTTGGTGGGGTTGTGAGGGTGATAGGAGTAGGGGCATTAAATGGAAAGGGTGGGAAGCACTATGTGTTCCTAAACAATGGGGTGGGATGAGTTATAGAAGGATTCGGGATTTTAATGTGGCTTTATTGGGTAAACAAGCATGGAGGATAATCCAAAGTTTATAAAGCTAGATACTTTCCAAGAAATTCTTTTTTTAAAGCTAATTTATGAGGAAACCCATCCTTTATTTGGCATAGCATCCTTGAGGTGCCGAATGTTCTGAAGAGTGGGTATAGATGGAGAATAGGAGATGGAGCTTCTAATAACGATCTCCCTTTTGTTCAAACACCCATGGCAGATTACCTAAGGGCTAAGGGACACTAAAGTGGAGGCCTTGCTGAACATGAGATGGATCTGCTGAAAGATTTCTTTCTACCAGAGGATGTGAAACAGATTTGAAAAGTGTGACTACCCCCGAGGAGGCAACTTTGTTCAGCCACTCTCCCAACTGTTGATCTTTTAAGGACAAAGCGTGTTCAGGTACCACCCTTATGTCAGTTATGTAATCTGCTTTCATTTGTTCATGAGATGTCCATTGGCTAGAAGCTGCTGGGATAGCATTGTGTACGGTGATAGTCACTCTTTGCTGGGGTGGTTAGAAACAAATTTCAAAAAAATATATAATACTTATATGCTAAAAACATCTGGCACCCTCATTGCTCTATATACCTTGCACTCTTCAAATCTGCAAAGTGTAACGGCCTAAAGTTTGAGGATGAAGACTCAAATTGAGCAATGAGGTCCAAGGAAAAGCAGAGTAAATAATAAATTCTGAAACATAGAAACAACCCCTAGCTTGGGTATGGTGGCTATGGCTCCAATCACCACATTGCCAATGAAGCCCATTTTCTAAACAGATCAATGAGATAGTGCAAACAATTTTAATTAACCAGTTTACATTAATTGCCTATAGGACACAAAATCAATAAACAAAGCTGCTCTAATTCATGTCACAGTAAATCAAGTAGACATTTCACAAATAAATTGCAATATCTATAATTGTTCCTAAAACCCTAGAGACATTTCAGAAAGAAAGCAAAACTCGTACCTAAAAGTAGAATTTATCAGCAGGACACCCAATTCTTGTGAGTACTGATGAGAGCCGAGAGAAGCCCGGAGGAGGACAATAGAAGCTTCCCAGAAACCAATCCCTTGCCATCTTGAATATCATCAACAGCCATTAAAGCACACAAGTAAATTACATTGTGCGTGTGTATAATGTGTAGTTCTTCATGCTAATTATATTGGTAGTGACCCTACCACACAAGTAAATTACATGCAATTAACAGTTCACCATTGACATATAAATGAATTGACCTTGAACAAGAGAAATCAGTTATGAATACTTCTATTCAGGATATAAAAAATTGTATTTGGTTGCTTACTTGTGTTGCAGGATAATCTGAAGGCCATACATATGATCTTTAGCACATTTCGAACCAACTCGCCACATGACTCCAGTAAATGATGATGGCAATATGGCATTAAGGTTTGTCCGAAATAGGGGCTGATAAACCATCAACTTTCATCATGCAAAAATATTTGGATGGTGCAATTGCACCAGCCTTGGTGCACAGATCAACAACAGCTGGAGCGTGCCCATAGTAGTTCCGGCCTTCATCGAGTAGCAATGGAGGATCTTGAGGTCTCCTGTGCCAAACTATATTTGGAGGAACCAAATCATCCACGCTTGCCTTCTCCCAGAAGTGAATTCGACGCCAACTTTCATACTTAAATACCCCACAAAGCCGAGCTTTATGCCCAGAAGGTCCCACATGAACTTCTGAGCAGTGTTTGCAGACCTTTACTGGATAAACCAACAGCAGCTTATGCACTCCAGATCTAAGTGTTTCCCATGCATTTAATGTTTCGTTCCCTAGTAACCGCATTTGCTGATCGAATGGAAGCACAATTTTGGAATTGCTTTCATGTTCCATTTTGCTTGCGTCTATGCTTTCATCATTTGGATTAGCACCTGCCTGTAAGCACAACTCTACAACAGCTGAAATTCGACTGTAATCAAATCTTTCATGGTGTTTGATGACATTTTGAAACATATTGTGCAGATGAAACGTTTCTACAGGAATTAGAATACTATCCAAGCTTCCTTTGATCCATACATGAAGTTGATTCTTTGTACGGTGCCTATAACCACCACAGGTCCGAATTAAATGACCATTTTCTCCAACATACACTTCTGGACAGTATCTGCAGTGAAACAAAACCAACTATTCCATTAGAACTAGTCTGAAAATTAAAGTGACCCTAGTTTTCTTACAGAAATGTTGCAGGAGTCATACACCAAAGATAAATAGTACTCCATGAATGAGTAATAACAGCTTCTACTGTGCACATTTTCCAATCATTAGAGGATGAAAGGAAATCGCCATAAAACATTATGGGGTGTTTGGTTGGAATGAAGGAATTAGGGGGGAAAGGAATTGTAATTCGGTGAGAATAAAGTAGGAATTAAAATTACTAGACCTGGCAATTCGTGTATACGGGTTTGTTAACGGGTCAACACGATAACGACACAAACACGATAAGGCTAAACACGGAAAAGACACGTTAAAGTTAACGGGTTCAAATTTTTAACACGAACACGATTTGTTAATGGGTTAAACGGGTTGACACGATAGAAACATTTTGTTACAGGTTTCGGGTCGTGTCGACACGATATGACATGAAACCCGTTTAAACCTGCTAAACCTATTAATATATTTATAAATAAATAAATAAAAAAAAAAAAAAAAAAAAAAAAAAAAAAAAACTAAAATTTAAAGCAAGTAATATAAAAAAGAAATAAAACCTACAATTCAATCCATAAAAGACTAATATAAGAATCAAAATTTCTGATTCCATGGGAGAAAAGCAAGCTCTGTTCTCCACATTGTTAAATAACTTCAATTACACTAGACTTCATGCACTACCTTGAGCTTTTCAAGATCACAAACTTACAGTTTCATTCATTTATTATCTTATGCTTTTTAATATCACAAGCTTATTGTTTCATAGATTGGAATAAGTTATATTTATTCCAATCCACCAAAAAAAAATTGTGATGTTCTCAACATTCAACGATGCTACCATTTCTAATCCAGACATTGAACACATCCCTAAACTTTTCCCACTGGAAACATACAAAAAATTGTTGATTTCAAGGAGCATCCATTATTCAATATGCATAAAGATAGATAGAGAGAAAGAGAGAGATATGAAATTACTTGCATATCCACACAGGTAAATGTTGGAGTAGGGTGGATACTCCATGATAGAGCGCAGCTTTGGCCTTGAGGACCTCCCGAGCCACAGGGACCATGTCCTTCACTGGATAATCCTTGGCTCGGTTCTCAATCCTCTTCAGAATCATCGGTCTCAGCTTCTTCAAGTCCACCACCTTAGGTTTTGTTCTGTAGAATCGACAACCATCCATCATAGTTCCCAACACAATCTCACCTTGTCTCCATAGCTCTTGGCTTCTCCAAGCCATTCCAACGAGTGTGAATAACTATAGCATTGTTGGATTAGTCAAGAGAGTACACCGCACAGGGCAGAGAGAAAATTTCAGCTTGACAGAATAAAACACTTCAATTCAATTATGCTTATTGTGGGCTATCGAGTATTATATAAAAACATAACATTTGAGACCTGACTAATAAGTACTGAACAGATTTGCTTAAATATGAGATATACAAGTTCAAATTGATAGAACACACATTTTAAATACTTATATGCAATGTTTAATGACTTCAGCTATAATTACTTAGGCAAAATTCTTATTTATATTATATCTCAATATATTGGATATAAAGCATGGTCAAAGAAAACAATTCAAACACAGTCTTTTTTTTAAACAAAAGCATATTAATCAAACTGCAATTCAAATTCTTACTTTTCCCCTATTTAAATACAGTCTTTTAAAAAAAAAAAAAAAAAAAACTATTTAAATACATAACATTCTGCAAATACAAATATAAACACCCCTTAACACAGGTAGAGTAGGGCAGCCCCAGTTCATTATCACATTGGAGTATTATGAAGAAACTTACAAAAAATGATAGGAAATTAGATAAGGAGTAGACCTAGGATGTAGACAACAGCTTTTGTTTAGATCGTCGATTTGGTGTACAAAAACACCAATTTCATCTACCGGGCTACACCACTGCGATTCACCCTAGCACACTGCTATTCGTACAGTACGCTAGAGACCAGAAGAACGGGATTTTGTCAAAGAACAAAGGCTAGGGTTTCAGCGATTTGCAACCTTAGGTTGTTTGCCGATTGGGTGTAAAAAAAACCCAGATTGCAGGTAGGAGTCCATCAGAATCGAAATTAAAGCACTAAGACATAAGGCTACAACAATAACATTCCGACAAATCTAGAGAGAGAGAGTGACAACGACAGAGAGAAGACGAAAGCTCTGGTGCGGCGAAGGTCTGATGGCAAATTATATCATGCACCACGGTTGTCCATGCTAGGGTGGGCGTTTCGGTTCGGTTTTTTCGATTTTGATTTTTCGGTTTTAAAAAAATTAAACTATTCGGTTTAACATTAAGGTTCGATTCGGTTCGATTTTGGTTCGGTTTGAAACAATTCGATTTTGGTTCAAATTTAATTCGGTTCGGTTTAAGCTCCCCAAATTTCAATATTTTCTAATTTTTCGAACATACTACCAAACAATACATATTCATATAATCCAAATTCAAACTCTAAACATTATATAACAACAATCCAAAGCTCAAACACAATACTAAGTACTAATTATCAAACATCAGTTAACGTTTTTGCACAACTGACTCTTCAGTTGGTTCAGTTGAAATATTTTTATTGATAAGATGAATAATCATCTATCTGTATAGTTGATATTAAAAGAACTAGTGTCAATTACTATATAGTTAATTTTTGACACAATCTATCATTGCTAGTGCACTCGAAATATATTCCAATACTATAAAATAATTATAGTGCACTGGAAATCAAAATTAGAATGACTGTAAAGCACATTAAATTTATAGAAAAACATGAAACTAAGGAAAATACTGAATATTGTAAATATAACTCAAGTTAGATATAATTGTGAGGTAAAGAACAATTGCGACAAACAACAAAAGTACAATGTAGAAAACAAGCTATAAAGAAATCAAATAAAAAATGTAAGGTTCGGTACTAGTAAGAATGAGAACTGAACAGCGGAGCAGGCATCGAGGAACTTGGATTTACTTCTTTATTATTATTATTATTATTATTATTATTATTATTATTATTATTATTATTATTATTGTTATTATTAATTTTATTATTATTATTATTATTATTATTATTATTATTATTATTATTATTATTATTTATTAAAAAAATTATATAGCATTCGGTTCGGTTCGGTTTTTGCCAAATCGTTCGGTTTTGGTTCGGTTCGGTACTAAACCATTAGGGTTACAAAATCCCGAACCGTTCGGTTTTCTATTACTAGTTCGGATCGAATCGGTTCGGTTCGGTTTAGCCCACCCCTAGTGCATGCACCGCGCAGTCTTTTTTTTTTTTAAATGAAAATAAACCGTGTTTGTTTTCCGCCGTTTTGCACCATTTTACAAAAAGTAACCCTATTCTTCAGTGTCATTTTGTACACACTGTAGTTTCAGTTTAACACAACTACAGTTTCATTTCGATATAACTATAGTTTCATTCGATATTCATAGACTCAAATATGTGAAAATGTTATTTAATTTTATTTTATATACACTATAGTTTCATTAAAACACAATTACATGATCATTTTGATATAATTACAGCTTCATTGTACAATATACACTCAAATATGTGAAATGTTATTCAGTTTCATTTTATATACATTGCAGTTTCATTTCACTATAACTACAATATCATTTTGATATAACTGCAGTGTCGATTTAGATATACTGTAGTGTCAGTTGGTGTTTAATACACCAAACAAGCGGAGTCCGTTAACTATAACGGCGGGCCGTTTCTTTAATTAAGGAAACGACGCCGTTTTTTACCGCGGTGCACATGCACCGCGATTGATGATATAACGACGGAAGGACGGATCTGGTAGACTGATTTTAGGAATAGTTTTGTGGGTCGGATTTGGGCCAAACTATTGTGGGTTTTGACTTAGGCTACTATTGTTTAATTCTTTTAAGTTTTTGGGTCATCACATTATATCCTTTGACATCCCTTCATCTGCAAATAATTCATGAAATTCTTCGATTTTTATTTTTTTTTAGAATTGATAAAAAGTGAAAGAAGGTCGGGTTAAAAGCCTTTGATCCGATTATATGGTTTAGAGAAAATAAGAGGAGTATATATATACATATATATATATATATATATATATATATATATATATATACTAATAAGAGCCCAAGAGAGTTAGACCTATAATGAGTATAAAAAATGGCGGTCAAATTTTTTTAATCAAATGAATGGCTCAGATTGATCAGATTTTAATTTTTTCTTAAGATTTTCTAATTTATCCTTAATGAATATGATTATCCGTTAAATATTATCTTTTTCGTTAATTTCTGTTAGTTCACTGTTAACTTACTCATTTCAATAAGAAAGGTCTTAGGTTCGAACCCCATCCTAATCAAAATTGGCATAATTAGTACTCTATTTTACTCTTATTAAATTAAAAAGAATAATTTAGTAGCTACAACAAAAAATAATACATCGCATTTCTTTAATTTAGAATTATGTGTCTACAATGTCTTTATTCAAAAAAAAAATTATTCATTATCAATAAATTAAATAAGAGAAATAATTTCATTAGTTATATTGTCTTTATTTTTCTCCAATATAAAAATTATTTACATTCGAATTCATCAATTGATTATATTCGCTACATTGTCTCTAAAATGTCTTTATTAAAAAAAAAATTATTCATTATCATTAAATTCATTAAGATAAATAATTTTATTAGTTATATTGTCTTTATATTTCTCCAATGTAAAAATTCTTTACATTCAAATTCATCAATTAATTATATTCACTACATTGTCTATTATCTTTTTTGTGCACTATTTTTTAATTAAATATCAAAGTTATAATACAAAATAATGTTATATGTTTATTTACCAAGTATTTTTTTAATACCATGAAAAAGTTAAAAAATATATAATTAATAAAGTCAATCATATTAAGTACTTGAGGAATTTGTTGACAAAAAGAGTATTCAAATCACACAACAAATTGAAGTGAGAACTACCTCACAATGTCCTTTTTTGACAATCAGTAGTTAGCGGATTATATCATCGGATTTGACCAACGAATTATATATATTAACGGGTGATAAAAAGATATTTGAAAAAATTAGTTGTTTAGATTAACATGTAAAATAACGTAAGGGTATACAGTACATATATTTAATAATAATAATAATAATAATAATTATTATTATTATTATTTTAAAAAATAATTAAGTCAATCATATTAACTGTATTACTTGGGAGGTTTATTGACAAAAAGAGTATTCAAATCACACAATAAATTAAAGTAGGAAACTACCTCGCAATGTCCTTGTTTGGCAATCAACAGTTAGCTCTTCAATATTAATATATATTTAATATTTTATGCCCTAATTTTTATTTGCTCTCCCTTATGTCCCGTATTTGGTTTCAACCATACCTATACAATTATTTTATTGACAATTATAATTAATCTTAACTACATTATCTTGTATTTGTAAACTTAGAATTACCTATTTAAATATGCAAATTCAACATTCAATTATCTATGCATGAACATTTTCAATATAATTTTGTCTTGATATACTTTAAAGTATTTAAATATGGAAATTCAACATTCAATTATCTATGCATGAACATTTTCAATATAATTGATATACTTTAAAGTACTTATTTAAAAAAAAAAAACATTGGACATTATCTCAATCGCGCAGTGCGCGTAAAAAACTAGTGTGTGTGTGTGTGTGTATATATATATATATATATATATATATATATATATATATATATATATATATATATATATATATATATATATATATATATATAGGGACAGAGGAAGAGGGGGGCAGCTGCCCCCTGTCAAAAATTATACAACAAACGACGTCATTTTGGGGCTGTATTATATATATAATTTTGTTATTATTTTTATTATTTTTATTATTCTACCAGAAAGATCGCAGATTCGCAGGTTCACCGTTCACAGCTCTCGCTTCTTTGACTCTCGACGACTCATCTCACACCGGTCAGCCAGCAAGAACACCTGCGTCTGGCAGGTGGGCGGTGGCGACACCGCCTCAGCCCTCAGGCTCTCACCACCTCTCATATGAGTCGTCTCCTCTCAGAGTCTCAGTACTCAGGTTTTTATTTTTGCCCTAATTTCTCTTGTGTTTCTTAATTATTCTAATTTTATTTTAATTAATTTAATGTATGTGCTTTTTTGAATACTTGAATATAGGAATTTGTGTATCAATTTATGAATTATCAATTATGATTTATGAATTAGGAATTGATGACCGTGAGTTTAGTGAGACTGAGATAGCAATTAGCACATACAGTTTAGTGTTAAACAGAACGAAGTGTTAATCCCTAATCCTTAATTCCTAATTCATAAATCATACAATTTAAAGTATTCCCTATTCCCTAATCCCTACAGTTTTGTGTTAATTCTATTATTATAATAACTAGTAAGTTTACTGTGCGATGCACGGTCATTAAATATGACCTCTTAATAATTTAAGATTATCGTATAATCTTCTTATTCTATGTAATAGCAAAATGTTTTTTTAATAATTCAACATTTGAATCGGAAACACTTAATCACAACTCAAATATGTTATACCTCTGGATTCATATGTAAATCTGACGACCTAGTAGTTGCACCCGTGCGATGCTTAGACATATGATACAATAGTAAGATTAACAGTAATGATAAAAAAAAACTATAATAGTATAAATTAATTATTGAAAATGAAGAACATTATAATTGTATTACACATTAGTGAAAACTTCTTTGTATACGACATTTTTAGTCGTACTTACAGATGGTACATTATTTCCATATCAAAATTTTTAATCCCTTAGCATTACTAACTCTTGAGACTGCAAATGATACACCATAATTAAAGATTGGCTTTTTTAAAAAAAAAACAAATCCACATGTGATAATGTTTGCCATTAACTTTTATTTATTGTCATGGCATATGATAGCATCAAAAGGAATTGCTTTCTTTGGAACTTGAGACAAAAATCTTGAATCAGAAGGTGTTAACGACATTCGAGGAATTAAAACTTTTGTTCCTACACTCGTTCCACACATGATTTGAGCTTCCAAAACATGATTAGTCAACTTTGTAACAATAAACCTTGTATCATTAAAGTATGTTAATATTCTCACAATAACATATTAATATTTTCAGAATATTATATAATGTTAAATATATCATTATATAATTATATATAAGATAAGATATAATAATAATTGAATAAGATTGTGAATTATATATATATATATATATATATATATATATATATATATATATATATATACTAATATTTGTACCCGTGCGGTGCACGGTCATAAATAATAATAATTTTTTTGAAGGTAAATAATAATAATAATATAATTAAACAATATAACATAATATAATAATAATAAAAATGAAGAAAATTTATATACAGTTAATTATTTAATAACAATTAACATTGAAAGTGTATTACACATTATTAAAAAAAAATTGTATACAACATTTTTTGTCGTAGTTATAGATAGTCCATTATCCATACCTATCAAAATTTTTAATCTCCTTAAATTACTTACTCTTCAAAGTGCTACGTACATTTAACCATGATTAATGACTGACTTTCTCAAAGCAAACTCACGTGCAAGATAGAAAAATATTTCTCATATCCTTCTACGAAGTGTCTTCGAGATTTAATCGGCCCGCCATGTTTAAGCTGATGTTGAGTATTGGTCAACACAGTAATTTGTATATTTGCTGCAATAGTACTAATTATGATTAGGGCTTAAAATAAAATGTGCAACACATAATTTATTTATTATATACAAATTTTATCTTTATTAGCTTCATCAAATTATTATTTAGCTATATAATATATAAAATAATGTATTATTTTAATAAATAATAATAACATATTAACATTTACAGCCTGATTATATAATGTTAAATATACTTATTTAATTAATTGCCATAATATAATTGCGGGATGTAATTAGGCCCAATGATTAAAGAACTGTTTATTTCATTTATTTAAGGCCCAATATTAGGTTACCCTTCATCTAGCCGACCCCGATCCATATCTGCGCATTTGATATAGATCGAGCATCAAGTTACCCTTCATCTAGCCGACGCTTCATCTTTTCTCTAGACATCGATGCACAGTTTGCTTTCTCTATTTTGTCCGAAGAACTTTGATTCCACGATCAATTCTTCGATCTATGTTGATGTAGTCTGTCTGAACACCTGGCTACTACCCAAATTTCTTCAAACTATGCTCCACTCTTTCCGCAAAGCTTACTTCTGCCCTAAATTAGATGTATAATATTAATGACTAATGTTTCAAATTTGTAACTGAAATAAAAATTATTATGTAATTTGACCATTACAAATAACTAACCATTAAATATATCGCTTGTTGTAGTGGATAAAAAGGGAGTTCGTCCTCCTAACACAAAATATTGTGCAAGTTATTTTGTGCAAGTTAATTTTTAATATACCAAGAGTATTTAAATTTAATCTATTTTACATTTAGTACCAAAATCATGTACCTTTAGTCACCAAATAATAAAATTTTCAATATTTAAAAAATGTACGTAATTGACAATGGTCCACACAATTATATGGACCATTTTCCACACCAGAAATTAACTCATAATTAAAGAATTATTATAACTAGTATTGTCTCGTGCGATGCACGGACTAAATATTAAAGATTTGTTTGTAATGTTAGAATAGGTAAAAAATGTTTTTAATAATGGTATTTGAAGTACAGAAGAAGAAAATATGAACCACAATTTAATTGTTTAAAATTACATTTTTATTAAGTAGTATATGACAAAATAATTATGATATTATATTTACAATATTTAATTTAATAATTGAAAATAGTATGATACAAAAAGTTACTATTATTAATCACAGCTAGTGGTATACATATTTGATCTTGAGTATATCTACTCCTAGTATACTACCCATGCGATGCACGGAATGAATATTAGACAACATTATAATAATATTATTTATTAAAAAAATACATTACCTAATATCAACATAGTTGCAATTCATATTCATATATGTATTACAATAATAACAATAACACTAATACTAATACTAATAATAATAATAATAATAATAATAATAATAATAATAATAATAATAATAATAATAATATTAATATTAATTAATAATAATAATTAATAATATTAATAACATAAATTAATAAGTAAATATATATATATATTTAGGTTCTCGTGCGGGTGAGGGCTTCAGGTGCGGTTGTGCGGTTTAATCTGAGCCAGTCATCTCACTTTAATCAACGTCCAGGATTATCAAAGTTTAAAAAAAAATGCGGTGGCAATTTTGTAATTTTTGCATCTAGGTCAAAATTAAGGTGAGCGGATCTGTGATTAATGTGCGTGTGTTTTGTGCTTAATGTGCGTGAGGTTTGTGCTTAATGTGCGTGGGGATGTGCTTAACGTGAATAGTTGTTAAAATTTAAAGTCTGTGAGTGAATACTTAAAGTGCGTGAGTTTTGTACTTAATGTGCGTGATGTTTGTGATTAATGTGCGTGAGTTTTGTACTTAATGTGCGTGAGTTTTGTACTTAATGTCAGTAGTTGTTGAAACTTAAAGTCTGTGAGTTAATATTTAAAGTGCGTGGGTTTTGTGCTTAATGTGCGTGAGGTTGTGCTTAATGTGTGTGGGTTTTGTACTTAAAGTGCGTGAGTTTATGATTTAGATCTAACACTTAAGGTGCACCTTAGCTTATACTTCTTTGTTCCAGGCACACGTTTTTTTTTTTTTTTTTAATTTTCATTGATTTGAGCCGTTGATCTAAATTTGATCAACTGCTCAGATTTAACCGCACAACCGCACGGGAAGCTATACCCGCACCTGAACCCTTCCCTATATATATATATATATATATATATATATATATATATATATATATATATATATATATATATATATATATATATATATATATATATATATATATATATATACAGACACACACACACATACCATATGGTCTTGTGAAAATTAAATGTTGTTAATATCAACATTTAACTATTAATATCAATATTTAATTTTCACAAGATCATATGGCTTTATTATAATTAAGATGATAGGTCATTGCATGTAAGATGGTCCACAGAATTGTATGGACCATAAATAAGAAATACATTTATTAATATTATAATTTTAGCTAATGTTATAATTTAGCTAATGTTACAATTATATGGACCATAGATTATTTTAGCTAATGTTATAATTATAGTGATAGATTTTTAGCAGAAGCCCAATGTTCAGCAACAGCCAACATACCAAACCCGACCCAAATGGATGCTCTAGATCCTTCTCAATCAGACCTCGCAAATTATGTTGTGCAACCGAATGCACCATGCGCATGGTGCATTCGATGCAAAACGACGTCGTTTTGGTTAAAAAACGCGCGTCGCACTTAAAGAAAAATCAGGTTCGGTTCCCGGCAATAGCATTTTTATATATCCATAAATTCATAACTATATATCCACAAATTCATAACTATATATCCACAGTGAATGAATGAAGTAAAAATCCACAACTATATATCCACAGTGAATGAATGAAGTAAAAATCCACAATGAATGAACTAAATATTCACAATGATTGAACTAAATATCCATAAATTCATAACTATATATCCATAAATTCATAACTATATATCCACAGTGAATGAATGAAGTAAATATCTACAATGAATGAACTAAATATCCACAATGAATGAACTAAATATCCATAAATTCATAACTATATATCCAGAAATTCATAACTATATATCCATAATAATGCTATTGCCGAGAATCGAACCTAATTTTTTTTTTTTTAAGTGGAACGCGCGTTTTTAGTCAAAATGACGTCGTTTTGCATTGTATGCACCATGCGCATGGTGCATTCGGTTGCACAGCATAACTATTGATCAGACCTCAGCCTCTTGTCCTCTCATTGTTTAGACTACACGGCTCTTACGTTCTTACCTGTTCTTAGCTCCTCTACCACTTTGTCCTAAACTTCGTGTGTCCGATCTCATAGTATACGTTCTTGAATCAGTTGTCCGTTCTTAATTCCAGATCAATATGATCTGGATGTATCCTACAGCTGTTGATCTACGCTATTTATTCACTATGTTTCACTACTAAAAACCCTAAGTTAGGTTTTCCGATCTGTGAAGTTTTATTTCGCCGAGCGTAGGTTTGAGTCGGAAAACAGAAAATGTGGAAGCTAAACATGCATCAGATTACGTAAACCGAATAAAAATTTGTGCAGTGAATTAAAAGATATGAGGTAAACTTCAAATTTAATCTTGTAATGTGTTTATGGTACCTTTGCTGTCGACTATTTGCTTCCTTTTGCTCCCTATTATTGTAGAAGAAAGTAATTTTCTCATTTGTGATATGAAGTTTTGTATTTTTCAATTATGTGTTGTGATTGTATTTTGAGTATGAAGAGTTTCTATAACCTTACTGTTTTATTGGTTGCATCAATGTTTTTTACAGAAATTAACAGTATGAAAAATAATGATTATGACCGTTCAGTTTTTTTTTTTTTTTTTTTTTTTTTTTTTTTGGTACAATGCAATCTACTTTTTCTGTAATTGAATACACAAGTTCCCCTGATTTTTTTTTTTGTTTTTTTTTTTGTTTTACTTATTGTTACAGTTGTGACTAACACATTTTTTAAGCATTTGGCAAATGAAGAAGCTTTATTTCTGATGCCCTTATTGTACACTCAAAAGTCAGAGTAAATTTTTTAGTAAATGATCTCTATATTTGAATCCAAATTGTTTATGTGAAAAGAAATGTGTTGTTGTTAATTTTTAGGTTTAGTTGCCTTATATGTTTGTATGTCAAGTCTGAATTTTCTGTGAAATCAGACTATGATCTTTAAATAACAGGATCTTTTAAATTTTTATCCAATAGTGTATATACTTGATTTTTTAAATTTTTATCCAATAGTGTATATACTCGATTGAATAGTGTATCCAATAGTGTATATACTATATGAAACCTAATATTTTGCTGGAATGATTAGGTTAAACAGATTTTGCTTTAGTAATTCATTTTTTATTGTGCTGATTTATTAACTAATTTATTGTATATACTTGAATCTGTGTTACTAAAATCTCTATATTTTAGTATATGCTTCAAATCTCTATATATTATACTAAATGATCTCTATATTTTAATCTAAATTGTTAGATATGTTTAAAGAAATGTGTTGTTTTGAATTTTCAGGTTTAGGTAGATTATATGTGTCTACTTGAAGCCTGAATTGTAATGTGAAATCAGGCCATGATCTTTAAATAACATGATCTTTTTTTTTTTTTTTAATCCAATATTGTATATGCTATTTTGTATCCAATCAGACTATGTACATTTGTGTGGTTTTGGTTTTCTTAAATGTATTGTCCATAGACAATTTTTTTATTTGTTTATCTGCACAACCTCAATCTGTGTTATTCCAATAGACTATAAATAATTTACAATTTGAATACACAGTATTAATACAGTCTTATTTCGAATACAAACACAGTAGCTGTATACAAACTTAGTAGCTATATACAAACATTGTTAGCACTGCAGTTCGTTTTCCTTGACCATTTGATGGATTTCCTTGACCATTTGATATTCCTTCTATGGATAATTCTTGATATGTTAACTGAGTGTGTTTGCTTTGGCATATGATGAAAATAGTATTCTAATGTCATTTTGATACTTTAATTGGTTTGTTTTATTCAAAATGATCTTTAGATTACACTGAATGGTAATTAACTAATTGCCTAAATGCAATCTGTAATTTAATAATTTTTTTTCTCAAAGTTGATTTTTATTTGTTTGCAAGTGACACATGTATTTTTTTCTAATCTGGCTCTGCTTCAATACAACTTTTGGAGTAGCTGGTAGTGATAGATCAATCTGGGGAATGGGGATCACTAATTAATGATTCCTGGATCAATTGTGTATAGATACAATCAGATTAGTGTAAATCTAATTGTTTTCCCTGTTTTTCATTTTTGTGGGGAAAATCTTGACTTAGAAACCTACCATTTTAATTGTGGGTTTGATAGCTTCTTTTGTTACTTGGTTACATTCCTTTTTTCTCTTGAGACCTGCATATTTAAATAGGATGTTGAATTGTAGTATTGGATTAGAAGGAGAGCAGTGATTTACTTTTACCTTAGAGGCATAAGTGTTGCTTGTATTGGTGTTATGCTGTTGGTCTATAGGAGTGCCTGATAGTTCACTCTGTAATTTCATAATTTTGTTTTCTCAAAGTTGATTTTTATTTGTTTGCAAGTGAGACATGTATTTTTTCAACCTCAATGCTCAACTGATTGAAACTAAAGTTTTTTTTTTTTTTTTTTCTATAAAAAAAAAAAAAGAAGCTGAAATCCTTATGTTAACCTCATCAATCATCAT